TTTATCTATTGATAGATACTTTAAAACTGGGCTTCAGTAATGCTGTCAGTTCCTTCTAGAAGACACAGACAGCTCTAGCCAGGGGTAGGGGTAAAGCAGTAGATATTCTTCAGGATCTCTTAGCACAGGGAAGTCATGTTATGTTGAGTAATTTAAGGATTGGGCAGTGTTTAGAGGAGCATAACATGAAATGACTTCAAGCTAGAAGGAAAGAAAAAATATGAAGAAAATATCGCTACCATTAATTTAAAACTGAGGATGGTCTCATGTTTTCAGAGAAATATGATTTAGTAGACAGAAATTGGACTGACGTTTGTGGAAGATTTTGGAATAATATAATGCTGGGAGGAAGGGGCATTTTATTTACAAATCTACCATTAAACCTTTTTTGTTTTGGTTTTAATACCATTTATTAAATATTTAGTTTTGGGCCAAGCACTGTTCTTTACAGACATTACTTAATTTTGTCATCTGTCTATAAAATCTGAACATTCATTCACTCAGTAATAAGTAGTAAGCTGGTAAGTAAAGGTTTTTTTGAGTAGGATAATTATATGATGTGAGTTATGCTTTAGAAAGAGTAACATAATAGCATGTGGGATGGCTAATGAGGTTGAGGCACTTGGTAGATAATGACTATAGTCCAGTTGAGAAGTAATGAGAACTTAAACAGAATGATGTTAGGGAATTGGAGAAGAGGGTATGAATTTGGCTGTTGGAATGAGATGGACCTAATTAAAGGCCAAGTCAGAATGAATCCATTTTACACGGTACCTTTTGGATTTATTGAGTTGAGGCAAGTCTAATCAGTTGCAGATGTCTAACTTGAATGTATCCTTTCTTTCTTTTTTTTTTTAGTTTGGGATATGGTGCTTGCCAGACAGAGCTAGAGAGAAAAAGTGAGAGAGAAAGAGAGAGAGAGAAAGGAAGAAATCACCCTCCCAGGAGGATGACCATGTCACAATCCCTTCATTCTCCTCTTGGGATTTTGGGCATGCATGTATATGTATCTGGTGTGATTTTGAAGCCTCCAGGTCTGGGAATCTTACTGTGCAGCCAGCCATGATCCTGTCTCTTGACCTCCATGCCACCTGTTGGCCCTGAGAGTAACCTTTTATGACATGCTGATACCGAGTATAACAGGAAAGGGGTTTGTAAGTTTAAAAAATTAAAAAAAAATTAAAAATATTTTTCACTACAGCGCATGTGTGCTTGCTGGTGGTGGGGGGGAAGAGAGAGAGAGAGAGAGAAAGAACTCACCTGTTGGGGGGATGGCAACACTGCAATCCCTTCTCTATTCTCCTCTTGGGATTTCGGCACACATACACGTGTGCCTGGAATGAGTTTTAAGCCACCAGGTCTGGGACTTGAACGGCGATCTGCCATGTGGAAGTCTAGAGCCTTAACCACCACATAACCTACTGGTCCAGGGAAGTTTGTAAGCTTTGACTCCTCAGACCTCATTCAGACTTGTCAGTGGGGCTTGGAGGCGTGTTAATGGTTCTGACTTGGAATCCTGTCTGCTACTTCTTGGGCAAGTTACTTAGCTACATAGATCCTTACCATTCTCTGTTGTAGAATGTCTGTAACAGTGTCTTTCACCTGGAGTCACTCTGTGACTTGGTCAAAATGGGTGCTTATGAGATGGTAAAAATTGTTCTTGCTATACTTTGCCTTATTCATTCTCACTTTCTATGAACACACAGTGTACTTTTTCAGTGGCCACATGATGTGCCATATGATATCACGATAGAATGCATGGAGAAGCACATAAAAGAATCCAGCTGTTTTCTACTGAGCCACACATTAGAGATTTACAAAAATTTAAATAATGATACCCTTTTCACTAAATTTTTATTTTTGAAAAAGAATCGTGAAAACAGAAGTAAAAATATTAACATGTAATGTGTTAATAAGTAAACATTTCAATACTTACATTTTAATTTTTAATATGAAAATATTGATAGATATCACTGACATAAATAAATATCTCTTAGGGGGGTCCACAATAATTTTTAAGACTTATGAAAGGGTCCTTATTATACTCTAAATCAGTCAATTTTTTTTTTTGAGAGGTTTTTGCTGTAGGGCATGTGTGCTTGCCAGAAAGACAGAGAGAGAGAGAGAGAGAGAGAGAAAGAGAAAGTGAGAAATCACCCCCCGGGGGGGATGGCCACGCTGCAATCCCTTCTTCTCCATTCTCCTCTTCGGATCTTGGGCACACATGGACACACGCCTGGTGTGAGTTTAAGCCACTGGGTTCGGGACTTGAACTGCAGCCGGCTACATGGGAGTTCAGCGACATAGCCATTACACTAACTGCTGGTCCCATAAATCAGCCAAGTTTTCTTTCTTTCTCTTTTTTTTTTTCCAGAGGTTTTCATTCTAGGGTGCCTGCGCTTGCCAGACAGATAGAGACAGAGAGACAGAAAGCGAGACATCACCCCCCAGGGGGGATGGTCACGCCACAATCCCTTCTCCTCCATTCTCCTCTCGGGATCTTGGGCACGCACGCACATGCGCCCGGCATAGTTTTAAGCCACTGGGTCTGGGACGTGAACCGCGGTCGACTACGTGGGAGTCCAGCGACATAGCCATTACACTAACTGCTGGTTCTCAAATCAGCCAGGTTTTGATAACGGATTTAGAGGCATAAGAGTGGGATCCGTAGGGTACAGTAGTCCTCTTTATCTTTGTTTTCACTTTCTGTAGTTTCAGTTGCCCGCTGCCAACCATGGTCTGAAAATATTAAGTGGAAAACTCCAGAAATAAACCGGTTATAGGTTTCAAATAACTTATTACGTATATCGTTGTAGTTGTTCTATTTTAGTATTAGTTATTATCATTTTTTAAAGTTTTTGCCATAATGTGCATGTACTCACCAGAGAGAGAGAGAAAGTGAGAAATCACTCCCCTGCCCAGGGGTGATGGCTATATCACAATCCTTTCTCTTCCACTCTCCTTCTGGGATTTTGGGCACACACTCACACTCGCCTGGCATGGTTTTCAAGCAGTCATATGTGGGTATCAAACCGGGAAGCCAGGAAGTTGGCCATGTGGAATCCAGAGCTTTAAACTCCATGCCACTTGTTGGTCCATTAGTTATTAATTTTAATTTCTTACTATGTTAATTTATAAATTAAGTTTTATCATAGGTATGTAGGATAGGGAAAAAAAAAACAGTGTAAACAGGGTTTGGTACTCTCTGTGGTTTTAGGCATCCACTGGGGATCTTGGAAGGTGATTTCCATAGATAACAGGCACTACTATAGTTTTACTTTCTTACAGTGAAATTTAAATGGTCCACTGACCATTGAAATAAACATGGTTTCCTTTGTGACAACTACCAAGTAGATGATGAAGAGAGAGCCTGGTAGAGGTGGACTTCTGGGAGGGAACGATTAAGAGGGAATTACAGTTGAGGACTTGAAGAGAAATGACAGACCTGAAAAGGGTGGTTTCAGATACAGTTCATGTCTCCATGCTCTTCTTTCTCCAGTGGCTTACTATGTCCTAAGAGTGCTTTAGAATGTAAGATGACAATGTATTTTATGAATTATTTGTTTTATAGATTTTTGTATTATCTTTTTGACATGCAAAGTGTCCAGTGGGGACTATTCCTGGAAATGGTCTAATTACAACTACAGAAAGCTATGTTATTACCTGAGGCTTTGAATTAAAGGACTAAAGATCCACTGACTTCATTTAGAACTATTCATGTCCCCAGTAGCATTAGGATAGAAAACCAGGTCTGTGTGTAATCTTTCTCTCTTTATTTCAAGCCTCTCTTTAAAATCCTATGGAGAAAGGCTTTCATTAATTGTGACTAGTTCTTAGGGAAAAAGATTATTTTTATTTCATTTTTTTTTTTGGAGAGGTTTTTGCGCTTGCCAGCCAGACAGAGAGAGATAGAGAGATAGAAAGTGAGAAATCACTCCCCCGGGGTGGGAATGGCCATGCCGCAATCCCTTCTCCTCCATTCTCCTCTTGGGATCTTGGGCACGCACGCACACGTGCCTGGCATGAGTTTTAAGCCACCGGGTCCGGGACTCGAACCACGGTTTACTACGTGGGAGTCCAGCGACATGGCCATTACGCTAACTGCTGGTCCCAGGAAAAAGATTAAAGTGATGGTATTCTTTCTCCTTTTTTCTCTCCTTCTAAAATGGGTCTAGAGAAGTTACTGGTGTTGATTGACAACCCGTGACCACAGGTCAAAGCATGTGTCATAATCTATTTTCCAGTATGCACATGTTAGTCATGGTTTGAAGTGCAATGTTTGATGTGTCTTTTCCTAGTCTTTTTTTTTTTAACATTCATTTTATTTTAATTAGACCAGATAAAATGTTTCTTTTGCAAAAGAAATAAAAACAAACAGACCCTCTAAGTTTCAGGGCATATTTTGTGAAGTAAAAGAATTCTTTTGTGTTATATCATTCACACTTCCAAAGGTTTCAGTTCTATGCAATCTAGCACTTGTACATCTTTCACATTAACTGAAATAGTTTGCTTTTTATTCTTATTCGATAGATAGGGCTGCTAGCTAAAATATAGATCTGTTCTTGTAAATTCCCAGAGAAAATTTAAATTTTAGGTAAATAGTGAAACATTTCCTTTTAGTATAAGTATGTCTCAACTATTGCATAGTACAATACTTAGAAAATTAAATTCTAAATTAACTAGTCATTTTATATTTTAAAATATACTAAACTGGCAATCTCACTTAAACACAAATAGGTTCTTTTGTAGATCTTAGTTAGCATTGCATTAAAAAGGTTTGTATTTTCAATTAGTTTTGCATTTAAAGACAAAAATTAGATTATTTCTTGGTGAGACTAGTTGGCAAAAAGTGTTTCTTTGTGTAAAGCAGAATCCTCAGCTCACAGAAAGGGAGTCCTAAAACTGGAACTTGTCCTGCAAATCAAGTTTTGCAGCTTAGTTTGGGAATCCTTCCCTTCTGGTTGTGGGATAAACTGGCTCCACCCAGCTGCTGAAATGTGATACAAGTTGTAACTAAACCGGAAGTTGGCCGGGCTGCCTCCGCTTCTCAAGGTAAGTGCACCCTTCTGTTTTCTTTTTGTCAAAGCTCTTTGCAAAGCCTTTGAAAATGGACTCTGGCTAGGTGACAGAACTGAGAGTAGGCGCTTTGGTGGCCTGGGCAATTGGAAGGCAGACCAGGTGCTTTATTTGCAAACTGTGTTCTGGAGCTTGTCCTTGAGCTGAATAATCACTAACGAGTTACTTTAATAAGATGTCCCGTGACTTTGACTAACAAGCTTTAATCCTAAGAAAAGAGTGGTTATTAGCAAAGACACATTTGGGATACCTGAAAGCCCTGACTTTGTTAGTGCACGAATTTCTTATATATTTTTTAAAGTTAAAATGATGGGAACTCCCTTTTTATATGTAAACCGCATGATAGAATTATCTAAATGAAAATTACTTAGAGCCCTGATTGGCTTGTAAGTTTCTTTTTATCTAGAATGCTTAGTTTCTCCCCACCCCTATCTCCAAACTCTGGTGGACCACTAGAGTTGTAGAATGGCTCAGGGATGTTTGCATTACCTCTTGGATTTTGTTTTTTGATCTTGTCATGCTACCCTGTGTACAAAGGGGTTTTTCACTTTGTAAATGTGTCATCAGGAATATTTCTCAACACAGCTAAACATTTCAGTTCAGGCATTTTCTTTTAAAAGTAGAAAGGAGTATTGTACTTGGTTAGTACAGAGGAAGGAGGCTTAAATTTGATTTATGGACTTACTGAAAGGTAGATTTTTTTCAAGAGTGGTTTTGTTGGAAGAGTAAGTTCCCATTAGTCATTTAGTAAGCCAGCGTGTTCATTCTTTCGTGTGCCTGCCTTCTGTTTCGCACCTTTCCATTGACTAAATGTTGGGTTCTCTAAACATTCAATTAACATTCACATTGTAGCAGTACTATTTTCAAGAATGACTGCTAGTGAGAATGAAAGATCAATCACTAGGACACTTTTGTCGCAAACTGGGTTTTCAAATAAGACAAGTTACCAATTGTGGCAGAAAAATGTGATGACATTTTAAAATTAGCAAAACCAGAGATTATGAGTTTTTCAAGAAGAAAGTAGGTATATCAGGCTGACTGAATTCGTCAAGATCTCAAGGAAAAAGGCAATTTTAATGGGAGATCTTGGTTTATGGTGGTCATTGAGCTGGATGTTTTATAGATCATATTTTAGTTAATCCTCACAAACACTTTTGATATTGGTGGCATTGCTTCTAAGAAGTGAGAAAACTAAAGCTTAGTGAGAGTAAGTAATTTTCCTAGGATCACGAAGGTGATGCCTGCTGGATTATATCCAGTAAACGGATCTATTCCAACCCAGGTCTGTGAGGTTTCAATGACCATGCACTTCACTGTGTCGTAGGGCACAGTAGTTGATAGGGTTTTAAATGTATCTTGCAATACATGAAATTTTGCTTATTAAAAACAAAAACAGTAAAAGTCCCATAGGATATTTGGAAATAGAAAATAAGAAAAGAAATGACTATTTTACAAGTACATAAGTGTGTTTCTATACAGTCTACGAATGCCTACTTTTTGGTGTGTTTTGTTTCGTTTTTAAGTTGCTGGAGAGTTCATGTGCTTGCCAAAGAGAGACAGAAAGAGAGAGAGAGGGGGGGAGAGGGAGGAGAGGGAGAGGGAGAGGGAGAAAGTGAGAAGCAGTCTCCATGGGGAGTGGTCCTGTTGCAATCCCTTCTATTTCTGTCTTGTTTTTTGAGATTTGGGGCACAGGCACATTGCCCCAGTGTTTATCAAGCCGTTGTGTCAGGGGCTCCCATGCAGTTGCCCATGCAGGACAGGACCCCAGCTGTTTATGGGCTTGCCCCGTTTTAGTGTTTTTGTTTTTGTTTTTTTAATTGTAAAACACTAAAGGCTTTTAAAAAAGTTCACTCAATAAAAAGGATTAAAGAGGAAGTTTACTCCACTTCCCATACCCCCAACACTTCTAAAGAAACCACATTTGAGAACAGTTAGAAGCATGTGTATACTTTTTTTTCTTTCCCTTTTTCCTTTCAAGTAATACATGTTTTGGTACGTTTACCTGAAAGCCCTGACTTTGTTAGTGCACGAATTTCTTATATATTTTTTAAAGTTAAAATGATGGGAACTCCCTTTTTATATGTAAACCGCATGATAGAATTATCTAAATGAAAATTACTTAGAGCCCTGATTGGCTTGTAAGTTTCTTTTTATCTAGAATGCTTAGTTTCTCCCCACCCCTATCTCCAAACTCTGGTGGACCACTAGAGTTGTAGAATGGCTCAGGGATGTTTGCATTACCTCTTGGATTTTGTTTTTTGATCTTGTCATGCTACCCTGTGTACAAAGGGGTTTTTCACTTTGTAAATGTGTCATCAGGAATATTTCTCAACACAGCTAAACATTTCAGTTCAGGCATTTTCTTTTAAAAGTAGAAAGGAGTATTGTACTTGGTTAGTACAGAGGAAGGAGGCTTAAATTTGATTTATGGACTTACTGAAAGGTAGATTTTTTTCAAGAGTGGTTTTGTTGGAAGAGTAAGTTCCCATTAGTCATTTAGTAAGCCAGCGTGTTCATTCTTTCGTGTGCCTGCCTTCTGTTTCGCACCTTTCCATTGACTAAATGTTGGGTTCTCTAAACATTCAATTAACATTCACATTGTAGCAGTACTATTTTCAAGAATGACTGCTAGTGAGAATGAAAGATCAATCACTAGGACACTTTTGTCGCAAACTGGGTTTTCAAATAAGACAAGTTACCAATTGTGGCAGAAAAATGTGATGACATTTTAAAATTAGCAAAACCAGAGATTATGAGTTTTTCAAGAAGAAAGTAGGTATATCAGGCTGACTGAATTCGTCAAGATCTCAAGGAAAAAGGCAATTTTAATGGGAGATCTTGGTTTATGGTGGTCATTGAGCTGGATGTTTTATAGATCATATTTTAGTTAATCCTCACAAACACTTTTGATATTGGTGGCATTGCTTCTAAGAAGTGAGAAAACTAAAGCTTAGTGAGAGTAAGTAATTTTCCTAGGATCACGAAGGTGATGCCTGCTGGATTATATCCAGTAAACGGATCTATTCCAACCCAGGTCTGTGAGGTTTCAATGACCATGCACTTCACTGTGTCGTAGGGCACAGTAGTTGATAGGGTTTTAAATGTATCTTGCAATACATGAAATTTTGCTTATTAAAAACAAAAACAGTAAAGTAACCATAGGATATTTGGAAATAGAAAATAAGAAAAGAAATGACTATTTTACAAGTACATAAGTGTGTTTCTATACAGTCTACGAATGCCTACTTTTTGGTGTGTTTTGTTTCGTTTTTAAGTTGCTGGAGAGTTCATGTGCTTGCCAAAGAGAGACAGAAAGAGAGAGAGAGAGGGGGAGAGGGAGGAGAGGGAGAGGGAGAGGGAGAAAGTGAGAAGCAGTCTCCATGGGGAGTGGTCCTGTTGCAATCCCTTCTATTTCTGTCTTGTTTTTTGAGATTTGGGGCACAGGCACATTGCCCCAGTGTTTATCAAGCCGTTGTGTCAGGGGCTCCCATGCAGTTGCCCATGCAGGACAGGACCCCAGCTGTTTATGGGCTTGCCCCGTTTTAGTGTTTTTGTTTTTGTTTTTTTAATTGTAAAACACTAAAGGCTTTTAAAAAAGTTCACTCAATAAAAAGGATTAAAGAGGAAGTTTACTCCACTTCCCATACCCCCAACACTTCTAAAGAAACCACATTTGAGAACAGTTAGAAGCATGTGTATACTTTTTTTTCTTTCCCTTTTTCCTTTCAAGTAATACATGTTTTGGTACGTTTTACAGTTTCCCTGTTTTCATTCTTCACTGTGACATGAGCATGTGTTTAGTGAAGTGCATGCAGATTCATGTCTCAGGATTTTTGTGAAATGAGTTAATTTTTGCAAAGCACCTAAAATAATGGCTAGCTCCTAGAAAGCACTCAACAATTACTAGTCATTGCGTACTCTATTTCAGATTTTATTAATGGATACATAGTGTTCTATACTTGGAATATAACATAGTTTATTTTTGTAACCACTCATCTTAAAATTTTGCTATTAGGAATAATCCTTACATAATTTTTTTTTTTTTTAGAATGAATTTCCAGAAGTTTAATTCCTAGGTCAGAGTTTAAGGTTATTTTTGGTTTAGAGGGATACTGTCAAATTTACTGCAAGCATCTTATGAGAGTTTACTCTCTTCACTGTATGACTGTTCCTTTCCCCATATCCTTCACTATGTTAGGTATTATCAGTCTTTTGCATTTTACATGAAATGCCAGGCAATGCACATTTTTAATATAGTATAGCGTAGTGTGCAGAGGTGTTTATATCTAATTTTTTCTATTTAACAAATATCCAGTTTTATGTGAGTAGGAATTTGATAGACGGAAAAGTGAAGGTCCTGGTTGAAAGCAGAACATGAGTAGAAAAAAGAGAGGAGCGTATTCTGGGAATAGCAAATGGCACATTATCTTTACAGCATAGGGAAAAAGCCCTCAAAATTTGGGTTGGGCTGAAAAGTACAAAACATTAAATGCCTAATGCTTTTTTCTTTTTCTTTCTTTTTTTTTTTTTTTAATTAAATTGGGTAGTCCTGGGAAGCTGTTAAGTGTTTTTGGGAAGAGGAAAACTATGTTGTGAATTGTGCTTTAGGAAAATGCAGGTAGCGTGGTGGTTAAGGTGCTGGACACTTCCAGTTGGCTGACCAGGATTCAAGTCCTGGACCTGTGGCTGGCTTTCTTACTTTTCCTCTTTCTCTCTGGTCAAATTAAAATAAAAGAATGAATAAATAAAATAATAATTAAAAAAGGAAAATGATCTTGTAGTGTGGAGTAAGGCAGATTAGAATGGAGATACAGAAACAGGGAGACCAGTTGAGATTTGGGTGACAGGCAATAAAGGCTTTCTGCTTAGACCTGGTGGCAGAATAGAAAACAGCAGACAGGTAGTGGGGGAAGGGAAAGTAGAACAGAGGTGTAAAAGGGATAGGTAAGAGTGGAAGGGTGGAGGTAGAACTACAG